AAAAGTGGGCATAGGTGTGGGTTGGTAAGCCAGATTGAACTGAGGAGACCCACCCTCGGTGGGCGGGGCGTTCTCTAGAAAATGGGTGCTCAGTGAAAATATTCATAACTCGGTTAAGAAGGAAGCCTACAGACCAGAACGAAATTAGTGCAGGGGAGCAATGCCTAAGGTATTTCCACCACGCATGATGTGAACGGAGGCCCGCCCACAATGGGCGGAGCGTGTCGTGAAGCGGACAGCGTTTTCTACAAGAGCTCATAAATCGGCTCCGAGATGACTTAGAGACCGGAAAACAGCGGATAGAGGTCAGGAGGGGAGGGAAGCTAAATGTCAGGGATGGGCGTGGCTTGCATCAAAGTGGGCGGAGTTTGCAACGGTACTTCATAACTCGGTTCCAATAAGTTCCGGAGATGGGAAAAAAGTAGAAAAAGGTTGGGGAAGAGATGATAGTCAACTGATCAGTGGGCGACCCATGCACCAAAGTGGGCGGGGTTTGCCACAAAGATACGTAGCTCGATTTCGTCCCCTACAAGACCTCATAATTTCTGCTCCGAGATGACTTAGAGACCTGAAAAAAATGTGTAGAGGTGAGAGGAGGAGTAGAGGTTGAATGTGAACGCTGGGCGTGGCACACCCCGAAGTGGGCGGAGTTTGCCACCACTCTCATAACTCGGTTCCTAGAAGCCCCAGCGACCGGGAAAAAAGTGGATAAGGGTTGCCGGAGGGAAAGGGGTTAAATGCTATTGGTGGGCTAAGCATGCACCAAAGTGGGCGGGGTTGCCTCAGAAATTCATGACTCATAACGTCTTTTACAAGACCTCATAATTCGGCTCCGAGATGACTTAGAGACCTGAAAAAATATGTGTAGAGGTGAGAGGAGGAGTAGAGGTTGAATGTGAACGCTGGGCGTGGCACACCCCGAAGTGGGCGGAGTTTGCCACCACTCTCATAACTCGGTTCCTAGAAGCCCCAGCGCCCGGGAAAAAGTGGATAAGGGTTGCCGGAGGGAAAGGGGTTAAATGCTATTGGTGGGCTAAGTGTGCACCAAAGTGGGCGGGGTTTGCCACGAAAACTCATGACTCATAACGTCTTCTACAAGACCTCATAATTCGGCTCCGAGATGACTTAGGAACCTTAAAAAATATGTGAAGAGGTGAGAGGAGAACGGCTAGGCGACCGGGAAGAAATGTGGATAAGGGTTGCCGGAGGGAAAGGGGTTAAATGCTAATGGTGGGCTAAGCTTGCACAAAAGTGGGCGGAGTTATGCACGAAACATTATTACTCGGTTCCAAGAAGTCTTGGACACCAGGAAAAAAGTATAGAGGTCAGCGAAGGAAATGAAGTCTCAGTGGGCAGGACATGCGCAAAAGTGGGCGGGGTTACCCATGAATTTCGAAAGAGGAGTGTCTCCAAAGCAGCCGTACCTTGGAATCTCACTCAGCAGCTCTGCAGTAATAGAGAGAACATTGCTTACAGACACAATTTTTCAGCCTTACCACCTTCCCGAAAAAACCCTGTCTGGAAGAAAGACCCTCTCCGAAACCGTCTTCCCTTGGAATCTTACTCAGCAGTTCTGCAGTAAATGAGAGGCAACATTGCCCACAGACAGAATTTCTCAACTAGAAAACCTTCTCAAAAATTGAAAAATATACCATGCCCCGAAAAAAGACCCTCTCCAAAACCGCCGTCGCTTGGAATTGTTGTTTTCGTTCGCACCTAGAGATTGGGTACTGTCTTTTGATCGATTCTGTCTGAAACACGTAGCTCAATGCGGTGTAGGAAATAGAAAATATAGTTTGACCTAATAGTCGGTGTAAATGGGATGTACCGAACAGAAAACTAAAATCTAGAAAAGAATAGTGATCATCCTGTTTGAACCCCCGTGTGATGCACGCGAATGCGTGCGCAGCCAAACTGGTGCATATATAATATGCAGAATTTGCGAGCCGTCCGACACTCTTTCAATCAGCAACTCTTGGCGGAATTCCGCGAAGATCAACAAATTGTTTTTTTAGCTCGAAAAATTTTTGTCACAGAGGCACTGGCAATCAGATATGGTCGTGCAAATGTGGACAAGAACTTGCACATGTAGTTAGAATTTTTCACATGTGAATGTAAAGTTTAAATATAGAAGTTTAGAAAGACAGGAACTCTAACAGGAAGTATCTTTAAATTTATAGCACCATTCTTCAACACGATTTGGTCGAGATACGCTATCATTTCTCGATGAATTTTGTTCTGCAGGTGCATTTCTTCCAACCTCCATGGAATCCAAACCAATCCTTATAAATCGTTGATTATACTGTGCAGCATACAAATACACTTCACTTCTCACTGTTCGTATAGTTCTCCGCAGAAACTCTCCTTAAATAGATTAGGTGAGCCGTTTATTCATAGCCAAGCAAAAGCAGCAAAATGTATGTGCAAGGACTAACACGAAGCAATGGTGGCTAACTCTCTTGCTCGAGTAGTTTGAGCAGTAGGGCGTTTCTGAGAGGTTTTTGTAGTTGGCGACACTCGCATAATACCATTTTCTTTGAAGTTAAAACAAAATAAATGCTTTTGAAAGACGAGACGATATTCTCTGCTGAAATGCCACATTAGTTTATTGCAAAACTTCACCACAATTTTAGTAAAAAGCAGCTCTACCAGTATCATATGTATGCTTTTCTCAGAGAGCATAATCCTTTATTCACTGGCGTATTGCCTGACAATCGCCGGCCATTACCCTTTTCTAAATCGGTATCACCCTTCCGCTGCATCCACTTACTTTTGTTATGTCAGCATTTTTTGAAATTAGTGAAATTTACAGTATGGGTGTTTTATAAATAAAAGCAGGTGTCGTTGCATAGCGACAGATCAAGAACTCTGTCGTTTAGTTCCTCGATATCTTCTACCATTTTTTCACCTGAGAAAGCGACGCCAACACTTGTGGCAGAGGTGGCAGAGCATGCTCGCTGGATGCCTTATATGCTAAGCTGTTGAGCAGTATCGCATCCACAACATTACGTGGCATTGAATCCCATGGGCGCCCCGAATAGTCAATTGCTTTTATTACACGATCTAAATTAATGTAATATCATTTCACGAACAGACCGCAATTAGAAGATCAGCTGATACAATCTCTTTTTCACAAGGGTAGATCGCCTGTTGTAGAGAGAAGGTGCCTTTCTAAGCGCAAAAAATTCACGAAATTTCGAAGTCTTCAGGGTCTCAGATCGAGATCAAATTCTTGATTAGAGTTGCGCAGGGGAGGCGCAGCAATGATCAGACGAGATTATTGCTCCCGTGAACCCAGTCCGTTGATCGAAAACCTGGGCACCTCTCCCGCCAGTTCCCCTCCGGCTTAGTGTTTAATTTGTAGTGGCACAATATTTCCTTAGGGGGGGGGGAGAGGAGGACAAACCAGTTCATCCATAAATGGCTCCAAACCAGATATGCAGTCAAATGGCACTGCGACCAGAAAATGGGATGTGCGGTGCATTCAAAGGCAAGGTCCAAGATTAAATTGATGAGGTAATTCAATTCCAATCAAAGCGAAAGTAGGAGTGGAAAGGACCGGACCGCCGACTGAGTGGAGAAAAAGGCAGAGAGATGAGAGATAATGTGAGCGCGGAGAGCGGTAGAGAAGTCCGAGTAGAGAGAGCATAGCAGATCAAGCATTGCGACGCAGACAAGATATCGAGCGGTGGGCGGAGCGTGTCGCAACAGGTGGAGCGTGTCAAAAACCGCCTAGCGTCTTAGTGACGAGTTTTGATGCAGGAACGTGGCGCGTCCTTTGTGCGTGCGTTCCACGCACTTCTAGCCACGCTAAAGTCTATTTAAGTTGGTCTGAGCCGGAATCTTGCCTTTAAGGAGAAGTCAAGGAACAAGCACTTGTTCTCCGCAGCACTTTTTGACAATACTTTTAAGCGCATCTCGCTCTTTCTTTTCGTTCAGAGTGCGAGCTGAGACCTTTTTAGAGCTCCTAGAAAACTGAGAATTTTCCGTTTAAGAATATGAGTAGGATATGCAGCATTATGAAAAATTTTGTATTGTCATAAAACGGTGCTTCCCAAAAACGAGCTCTCATTGAATCGGACGAGAAACACCTCTTGTGCATCAAACTCGTATACTCGGCGTCAGCGTCATATCCATCCTTCCACCGCGAACAAAAGAACTCGAACGGATTTCCCGCATTTGAAGGACACGAGCTATTAATACTCGTGTGTGGGGAGTCAGTGAAAAATCTCGAAATTCCTATAATAAGAGTGATGCACTTAGATTCCATAGAAATCCTTCTTATCATATTGCTCTTATTCTATAATACGCAGAATCAGTTAGCTCTAGGCGAATGCGTATGCGATCCGTTTTCGAAACCTTAAAGCGGTTACGAGTACGTGCAAAGCATAAGCGTCTCTTGTATGAAGTCTACATCCAGACTACGAATTCGTCGGTTTCATATCTCGTCGGTTTGCGCGTAAGTCTAGGAGGAGAATAAGTGGCAATTCCTTACAGAAATTGTGAGGTGGGAGAGTAATCATATGCTTTTTTCATCATTTTTCGCTGGTCTCGATAATCTTCCATGCTTCTGATGCCGCTGGCTTCTTCTATGGATGTACGTGTAAAACTACAGGGCAACAATATTGGTAGGTACACGATAAAATCAATGTCACGGAGTGACTTCGGAGTCTAGAAATTATGAATGGTCTCCTTGAAGCGCATGATACCACAGATGTTTGGACTTAGTAATGAAATCTGCGTTAGTTCTTTTCGTTTTTTATGAACCCCAGTATGAAGCAATTGACCGCTGTCGACCAAAACGTTGACATCGAATCCGTCAAGGATTACGCTGGCAAAATTACCGTTTGCGGTGCAGGACTTAAAGAATATTCGCAGGGAGCGTGCTTTTCATAGCAAGCGAATCCTATTTTCCCCGCAGCTAAGGTGCAAAATGAACCACTTACTCACTCCAAAATCGTTTTCAATATTTTACGTACGCATAACGCAACCTCAGCTGCTCACCTGACAGCATAGTAGATAAAAAAATTGATTGCACATGCTGTGTTTACAAATACTCCTGCCGCTAAATCCACTTCTACTCTGGCGATATTGAGATGGAAGACCTGTGCAATGGTGCCAATAAGGGTTGTACTGAACCAACCAAAAACAACTGTCAGGCTGATCACGATCAACGATCTGTACAGCGTCTTCATTTTATCGCTGCCTAAAACGAAACTGGAATTGTCCGCCGAATTATCACAAACAACTTTAGTCCCTAAATTTGAAATGCAAACAATATCTTCCGATTACCTTACAAACTTTGTTATGCTTCACACTAGTTGTCTGCACTGCACTGTCTGCAATATCGCTCTGCTTCAAATCAACTTAGCGATTTCGGGAATGGGCTGTCGCGCTCTGTGGAGAGATTCAGCAGTGGCAACACCACACTATGGTAGTGTTCAACATTCATTAATTTTTCATTTCATTTTTCATTTTCTCGATTCTGTAGTGTTTCACGGAATTGTGCATCCGCTACCAGCAGCAGCGCTAAACAGACTAAATACTTAAAATGTTGGTACAAACGTTCTCCCCCGACTGTTTTTTTTTGCGATTGGCCAATATCCAGTACCACTTTTCTACAAAAAGTGAGTTTTGCTGTTTAATTTTTCAGCCACGCTCTTTCCAAAATATTCACTGCCTTGATACTCTTACATGCAGATACATTATATACCATCCTAACCATTCGTGCTATCAGTCACATATTTTTGCACAGAAAGTCAATCTACATCTTCCAGCAAATCTTGTAAGGACCTCTGATAGGGTAGTTATAGGCTGACAAAGAACTTTAAGAATCAGGTTTAATCAGATCATCAGGTTCCACTCTGAAAGTCATTTGCTCGAAAAACGACAGATAAATTTCCACTCAACTTGATAAATTCTTTAGGCTGTCGGAAAAGTCTGCGCATTCTGTTCTTCATCTTGCGAAATCTTGGATCGTTTTGAAACATTCACTGTTAAACGCATGTGAGCGGTGGTTAATGCTCTCTCCACAGCATTTCTGTCGTAGCATTTCGCAGCGTTTGAAGCTGAAAAATCCTTTCACTGAAGGTATGTTCGACTGCTCCTGCTTTATAAGCCCACAAAGTGCGTCGATTGAAGCGAGGCAGCAAAAGGCCTATGTGCTGCAGTAGACCTCCTACCTGTCTTTCACACCATTGCAATCATATGATGACCGATGCCAAGATAAATGAGAAAAAACTACAAATCTAGTCAGCCTGTCACACTAAATAAAGAGTATATTCCGCAGTGGACTCGAAAGAGTTCCTGGTGAGATGCAGGGAAACTGTCAAGGTTTTTTAGTGGTATCACAGCACGACAGCCGCTCTTCAATATCGCCTCAAGAAGGGATGTTAAGGCGAGAGGATATTTCGTGGTACTGACTAACCACTCCGTTCGAAGGCTCAGTTGCATGAACACTAGTATTTGATGAACCCTAGCTTATGAATGTGTGCATGTGTGTGGCGTGTCATGTAACTCGTATAATCTAAACCTTTTACCTCTAACACATTTACAATCAATCGATAATGCACATAGGGGAACATCGTACGTTCCTATTACCGTTCCTAGTTGTCCAGTCCGGGCCATCGGGGCGCTTGGAGCTACGGCTTGACAGAACATGGCAAGCTGCTGCGTGCCCCGCCCATTGAGCCCGCCTTTGACAGTAACGTGTGCTTTCGCGACAACTTTGATGTAGCGCCTTTCTCTTCCCGATACCTTTGCTGATAGTGACGAAGCTGATAGTGATGGAGAAGCAGGATCTTAACGTAAACCACACACGAAAGCACGACTGGCTCAGACGTGCAGAACAAAGGATTGTAGGGCTAATTCCAGATCTGCAACATTGGAGGAAACTTCGATAGCTCATGAAGCTGTGAATGTTTCGCATACGAAGACTGGTACCGAACTCCTTTGCTATTGCTTAACAAAAACGTTAGCAGGTAGATCGGTTCACTGGCACTGTGCTTGGAAAATATGGGAAGTTTACTTTTTTTGGCAGCCCTTACCCTCGAATTAGGAGGAAGGCTCAGCAAAAGTCTACAAACCCTTTACTGGAAAATCTGACCCTCCTTTGTGTGTTTAGCAGACCAGGCACAGCCAGACCAAGACCTGACCGAAAGGAATTCTTCAAAATCTCCGATTCAAAAGCTCAGGACTTTCAAACGAACACCAACCAGAAGTTACACGCTGAAGAGCAATGTTCTCGAGCGATTATGGTGGTGTATGTATTTAACAATTGTTGGCTGCACTAAAGAAGAAAAACAATTTTGAAAAAAAAGTTGCCAAATGCGCAAAGACTTTTCCAACAACCTATTATTTCAGTTCATTTACTAGATTTAACATTGAAACTACGATTTACTCGCAAGAGGATATGTTTGTAAAAGTTCTTGTGTGGTTGCACACACTGAAGGACCAGCCACATGTTCCGTTGTAAACAAAGCCATTTCGCTCTTTTAGACATCATGGATGGAGGGCCTTCTTCAACAAAGACCATTTTGAACATGAATTTAACTCACAATCAACAACAAAACAACTCACTTATCTTGATCTTTCTTATGAAGCATAAAAATATAGTGTAGCAAACAATAATCAGTATATTGATAACCATAATGGACCTTGTTACCACAGTATAAATATTTCCGGTCATGGGAGCAGTAATGAAACAAAGCACTTTTCTAAAATATATATATAATCGTATGCTGATCATCAAATCAACAGCTTTAACATTTTCTAAGTTTCAGTTTCAGAAGTTGGACAATCTGACGAACTGTTGCAAAGTAGCCCTCGATGAACTTCTGCTATTCTGGTGCTACTATTTTTCGAAGTGTTGCTAATGCTAGTAACTGGAAAGCTAAATTTGGAACAGATCAGCAGATAATGTCAATGCATTTGCGTAGTGAATGCTAGGGGACAAATTTAAGCAAATAGATAAAAAAATAAGTCAAAATATAAAAAAGCAAATAAGCGAACAAATGTTTGAATAGATACTAAAACGAAGAGTTAATTAATAGCCCGAATAGGACGCTCCTAGTTCACTCTCGGTTCTGCTGCGCTGTTTCGATTTATATTAGTGTCCACCCACAATCATAACCACCCATGAGCATGTTTAATTGATATCTTCGAATCACGTTGTTACGTGTCACATTTGCTTTCCAATATTCTGCTCCTGACTAATTACACCCGATTGGGTTGTTAAACTTTAATGTCCGGCTGGCTTGAAAGCACTTATCTACACAGAGGAAAAGTGGTTACAATTGTATCATTGTTTTCGTGGCATCTGAGCTATGAAGAAACTCAAGCGCAGAATATGCGTATTGGCGCAAGCCTTTATTAAAACGACTCGTTTGGCTCATCGCTAAAATAACCGTCATCCACCATCGGTCATCATTGAAAAACTCGATGAAGACACTTCATGGACAGTGTAATGGACATGAAAACATCGAGTTCATAAAAAAGAGAAACCCTTATAATTACTCACATTTTCTCAGTACGGTCAATAAATATCCATGTAACAAGGCAAAGAGTGTACGACAAGGACGGAACCACCTGCGCAGCAATATAAGCGTTGGCATAGTGTTGCGTGAGCATTGTACTAAAATGTCTGAATATATTCAAAAAACTTTCTAGCTCTAGAAAAAAAAACTTCAAAAAGCGATCCATAACGGAATCTGAAGCAGAAAGGTTCGTAATGATGCTTGCAAACTTGGTTGGTATCAAAACCATATAAGTCCTCAAATTTTGATCAGTATGGCAAAATTTCTTTTTCATGTATATACACTGAATATTTCCCTGCCAGGATCTGGCTGGATTTTCTGTCGTACTTGCCTCACCCATGCAGCCCACTACTTTTTTTCGCACTCCGTTCAGCTAAGTTTCAAGGGTTTGTCGTTTCCGTGAAATTTCTCAAGTACCCTGCCCTCCTATTCTCCTTTCTTGCTCTTCCTTATATTTGGTCGAACAAAAAGTGCTCGCCGCTTTGAGCACTTAATTTGAAGCATCATATTTCTGCTGAAGCACAAACTTCAAATCAGAGTCGAACGGTCGTTGGGGAATCCTCGACAAGTCGACGGAGGGAGGTCGTTCATCCCATCATGGGGCGAAGGTTTTGGGAAGGAACGATGCAGTAGGATGATCACTGTGGAGAACCATAAAAAGTGGTGACCAACGCTTTCAAGTTGTTGGAGGATTTCCTATAAGAATGTTGTCACGCACTAATAAACTTGAGGTTCAGAAGGGTCTGAGCGTAGCACATCAGCGAATTCTTACGCAAAAATCAAAGAATTCGAAATTCACAAGTTCCGACGGATACTTTACCTTAAAAATAAGTCCGCGAATCTAAAGCGATGTTAGGCCCACGACACGTTCCTCAGTGGGCCCACTCAGCTGCGCGCGCTTCCGATTCCCTGGCAAAAAAACCTCGATTCAGGGAAAATCAAGAGGATTCCGTTCCGTATAGAATGACAAAGAGGAATCCCCTATTCACAAAGAAAGCATTTTCAGCTTCAAATAATAAACATATAACGGGGAAGTATGGGATTTGCTGTGCAGTTTAGGAACTTATTGGTAAAGAATGCTCTGAATGTGCCTTCGCTTTCGTATAAAACTGCCACTGAAAGGAGCTACAATTATTGAAAACGTGCCAGTGCAGCAAAGGAGAGCCTCTGAGCGGTTTATGAGCAAAAATCCTCAACGGAGTTATTTAACAGATTTCAAGCTTATCGAGCTATTGTGATCTATTGTCCGCGTATCTCAATCACTGAGAATCCTCTCTCACTGAAAGATCTCTAGCCGGTTGGTGGCGAGGCTACGTACCCCAGGTGGCGGATAGGGGGTAAATCGCGGACCAAAAGCCACCATGTACTTGCCCTGAGACGCAGGTGGATTCAGGGGATGGACTCCCTGTTTCTGTAGTGCTGTGTTGATTCATACCAGCTGTCTCCACTCAGGCGCATCCATGCATGCTTGCGTGTGTGGTGCGCTCTGTGTGTGTGCGGTTGGTATCCTGCATGTCGGCACAGCCAAAAGCTTGCATTCAAGTGACTGGGAAGTACATGGGAGGCGATTCGGGGCCGCCTCGAAACCAAGCCCTTCGTTCCGCTCTAGGAGCGTGGCCAACTACCTAGCCATTCGTTCCGCTCCAGGATAGCGTGGCTAACTACCTGGAGGTCTATCCTAGCCCGCACGACAGAGCCTGGCAAGCTACTCGTGTGCCTTCAATATGCCGAAAACAGCAATACACGGGCCTCATTTCCCTATGCCTGAGGGAGCTCCCATTACAGCAGCGTCTGAGATTGAGAAGATGAGGTCAACTCCTGCTTTGACAATCTTCGTCGCCTACGCACCAACATCAGCTACGACGAGGAGGAACACGAAGCATTCTATATGGAATTGGAGAAGTTCTACAAGGAAGATCATACCTTCTTCAAGGTCATCGTCGGCGACTTCAACGTCTAAGATTGGCCCAATAAGAATGGCGAGAGGGGGGTCTATCCTAGCCTCACACGACAGAGCCTGGCAAGCTACTCGTGTGCCTTCAATATGCCGAAAACAGCAATATGGATGGGCCTCATTCCCCTGAACCTGAGGGAGCCCCCAATACGGCAGCGTTGGGTAGGACCGCTCGGGAGAGGCTGCTAGAATCTCAGGGCCCGGATAGGCTGCCCTAAACGAAGAAGGACTAAGATGGCGATCTGTACTTTCAACGCAAGGGCGCTTGCATCCGAAGCTCACATCGTACCTCGTCAACACGCACTTGGCTATAAACATCGATTCGTACGAAAGCCTAACGACCTGAATCGGACATTTGAGATGGAAGATGTGGATCAGTTCTACAAGGAAGATCATACCTTCTTCAAGGTCATCGTCGGCGACTTCAACGCCAAGATTGGCCCGAGAAGAACGGCTGAAGAACTTCACATCGGTACTCACGGAATGGATTGGAATGAGCAGGGCGAAAGACTGTCTGAGTTTATCATGTCGACCACACCATCCATGGTAACTCACAGTTCCAAAAGCCCCCTCACCTTCGTTGGACTTGGGAGTCACCTGATGGACAGTTCCATAACGAGATAGACCACATCATCTTCAATCGAAGGTTTTGCCTGACCGACGTCGCTGTTGTTCCAAAGTTCTACACGGGATCGGACCATCGTCTCCTCCGCGCAAGATTCCACTTCTCGATGCGTGTTGAGAGAGCAGCAAAGTTCAGGAAGCGAAGCCCCAGGACAGTCATCAACTGGGACCACTTCGCTTCCCTCGTCAGCTTATGGGAGGATTCCGTCATCGAAAACATCGACGAGGAGTACTATCGGCTCGTTGAACATCTTCACGATTGTGGCAGGAAGGCAGAGAGTTTGAAAGTCACCAAGGGACGTCTGTCTCCGGAAACTCTCGAACTGATACGCCAGCGTGGAGCCGCACGAGCTGCAGGCAATCACCGACTCACGTCCGAGCTTGCGAAGCTATGCAGAGAGGCGATAAAGGAAGATCTCAAGGAGCGAAGAGCAGCAGTATTAGCTGAAGCAGCAGAGGCTGGGAGGAGCACAATGCCCGCCGAAGCTTTGCCAGCTACAAGACCAAGATGACCTGCCTCCGACGTCCGGATGGAACAGTTACTGCATCCCGAAGGGCAATGGAGAAAGTCATCCACGACTTCTACTCGGATCTCTTCGATAGCCATGTCCATCTGCCTACTTATCAACTGCAAGAGGATGGATACGTCGTCCCCTCGGCTTTCTAGAGTCCGACATGCTATGAACATGCATCGCCAGTCATCATCGAAGCTCTGGCTCGCCTCTTCACGCATACCTGTCGGAATGCAAGGTAACCATTCCATGGATAACTGTACAATGAAAAGACTGGTCACATTGGCTCGCCCAATCTCCTTGCTGTCTGTAATCTACGAAGTAATCACCAGAGTCATCTTAACAGGATTCAGGCAGGCAGAATGCTGAAGGACAGCCATGCGAGCAAGCAGGGTTCCGAAGAGGGTTCAGCACGATTGACCATATCCGCACGGTTACGAAGTATCACAGGATTCCGCTTTGTCTCACGTTCATCGACTTGAAGAAGGCCTTCGACTCTGTGGAGACAGAAGCGGTCATCGAAGCCTTGGGCAACCAGGGCGTCCCTACTCAGTACATCAAGATTCTTCGTGAGCTCTACAGCAACTTTACGACCAGAATCTCACCATTCTACAAGGAGGTCATCATCGACGTCAAGAGAGGGGTTCCGACAGGGCGACACCATCTCGCCCAAACTCTTCAGCGCCGCTCTCGAGAACGTCATGCGTCAACTGGAATGGGAAGACATGGGAGTGAAGGTCGACGGCCGGCAACTACACCACCTTCGTTTTGCTGACGACATCGTTCTTATAACGCCGAACATCGAGCAAGCGGAGCGAATGCTGGCTGATTTCGACTGCGCCTGTGGTAAGGTTCGGTCTACAGCTGAACCTAACGAAGACGATGTTTATGAGAAACGGATTGGTTCCTGATGCCCCATTCACGCTCAACGGAACGAACATCACCGAATGCACCAGCTACGCGTACCTAGAACATCCGGCTCCGCGCCTACCTCTTCGATTCCGCAGTCCTTTCTGCATTGACC